GTTTCGGGGGAAATGCCCCCGATTGGTGAAACTCCGGCCCTGCGCCCCTGACACCTTCACTTGCCTTTCCCGGCCCCTTTGCTCACGCGAGCCCTGCTTTGCGAGAGACGCTCTCTGGCGTTTTTCTCCACCTCGGCCCACTCCGGTGAAGATTGGAGTTCTGACCAGCTTTCCCAATCAGGGCCCAACCAAGTGATGTTCAGAGTGTCCGCCTCCACCGCCGCACGCATGATGGGCTTGCCGCCGGTTTTGACGACGCCCGCCTCCGCGTCCACCTTGAGGCACCGCTTTTTGAAACCCCACTGCGTGAGCACATAACGTAGGCCCATGAGGAGCGAGGCGACAACCCGCACCTCGATCGTGGAGTCTAGATTGCACCACGCTCTGCTCCTTCCCACCCTGGGCTTGAGCGACTTTGTCGAAAGCTCTTGAAGGTGTGATTGTGCTTGTTATGCTGCTCCTGGGGTATCAAATTCGGCAAAAACCAAGCCCTTGAAGTGTTCATCCGGGGCACCCTTTCTATAGATTGTGTTGGCAAATAGATGTGCGTCTTCGAGTGCCTTGTTGATCCATGTCTCTGCCTCCCCAAAGGACTCATGGGGGAGACCTCCAAGCAATACTGTCGCAGTGCCCGTCGTACGTGATGTACATGTCGTTGATCGCGGTGTCGTGCTTGTTTGAACTTGTTGTAGGGCTTCCCGGAGTTCTGCAATTTCTTGCCGTAGCTCGCCATTGGTGTTGGCGACTTTTTCCCGCGTCTTTCGATGTCATCCTCCAGGTTGGTGGTCCTGATATTGATCTCCTCCATCTCCGCTTCCATCGTCGTCTTGAAGGCTTGGGAGTCTGTGCTCATCGACTTGTTGGCCCTCATGACAGGAAGCATGTACTGGCGGAAAATCTGGCGCATGCTTGCTACAGTGATCGGCGAATCTGGATTGTGGATGTCCTCTTCCTTCGGAAGGTCGTCGAATTCCGTCTGGTACGTGTTTGAATGGGACGCCGATGCCGCCTCCCCCAGAGCGTGCTGAAGAGCGGTGTGTTGGGCAGCGGCGTCGGCCGGGCTGGTGTCCATGGCGGCACTTGGGATACCGAGGCGCGGCTGCTTGAGTGCGCTCTTCGGCGGCGGTGTGGCCAGGGCGTAAGACTCGGGACGTTCAGGTCGCTTCGGTCCTCCACCAGTCGGTCGCACAGAGCTGCCACCTGCAGAACCATCAGATCGTGGCTGCAGAACGTCCTTCACGGGCGTGCCGGGCGCACGAGTTGCCATAATTGATTCCCAATGTGTGCGCAGAAAGAAGCACGATCCTCCGCAAATTGTTCAAAATTCGGAGCCCCTGACCCGAGACCACTATCCCTGGAAAATTACGCTGCGTGCGCGTCTGCGAGGCCACGATCCCTCGTAAATTACACAATGTTCGCGTCAATGCCACGATCCCTGATGAATTACGCCGTTTTTGCGCCCCCGAGGCCACGATCCCTAGAAAATTACCCCACAGTCGCGTCCCCGAACCCACTCTCCCTGGCAAAAAACTCCGAGGAATCCAAAGCCCCACGATGTTACCCAACGTGGCCTCAAGCAGCCCCCAGCCGTTCCAAGAGAGCCTCCGATACGCGGCATGAGGGAAATTCGACAAGAAACACTGAGCTCAACGGTATCATCTGGATGTCAATCAGTTTGTGTTGACGATTACCAGTCGCCCTCGCAGGAGGCTTCAATACTGCTTCACGACGGCGCCCAGGCAGCCCAACACAACCCCCGCAGACCCCGCTAGAATAGGAGGGGGGACCGGCGGCAGAGGACGCGGTCCTTACGGGCACTGGTGACCCATCCAGAGCTAAGTCTGCTCGTTGCCATCGCGCCAGATGCACAGCACCTCCCTGGTGGCACACCGTGGCAGCAAACTCACATGCGCCATTCGCAAAAGACAGCCTGCCACCGCTGAGGCCTGCGAGCCTCTCTCCCGGGGGCCCTCAGAGCCCTCCACGCCAGCGTCGCCGCCGTCGCCGCGGCCGCCGCCGCCGCCGTCCCCGCCGCCGCGTCCTACAGCCCATGATCGCGAACATCCGCCCGCCCACTTGAGGCCGCAGGGTTGGGAGACGTGCTTCTGAGTTCCTGTCTTGTTGTTTGTCATGTGTAAGCGTTTTCTTATTCGGCGTCTCGACATTGGGCGGAAGGGGGGCGAGGGGGGGGTCTGGCCCTGGACCTCGGCTCAGAGCGACCGTTTGCAGCAGTGCGTCTTATAGGGCAGACGCGACCTGCTCGAAAGAAGCGCCAAACACAGCCAAGATCTACTCCATGGCGGGGAGGGGAAGGGGGGGGCGAGGGCCCGCGCCGATCGGCAAAACAACGAATGCTTCGCAGGCCGAAGGATGTTCCTCTTGAGCCCCAAAGGTCGGAAGCGACGTGCCGTTCAGGTGAGCGGATACATGTCGCGCTCCCTTCGGCGTGGGCCGTGCCATGTGTTAGTGGAAGAAACGCGGGAGTCCTCCCCCCCTCCTCCTCTCCCTCCTCTTTCCTCCTTCCGCACCCCTCTTCCCTCCTCCTCCTCCCCCTTCTCCCTCCCTCCCCCCTCCCTGATTGTTCCTCTCCTGTCTTCCCTCCTCCCGTCCCTTCTCCCCTCCTCCCCCCCCTCCTTCCTCTCTGTCCTGGGAAGACCCCCCTCCCCGTAGAAGCATAGCTTTGGCCAGCAGTTCCACAATTCCGTGGATAACATGATGCTTCGCGTGCGGTGCCCCGCAGATCCCGTTTCGCCTGGGTCCGGGATGTTAATTCTTGTGTATGCATTCCCAGAAAAATCCGCCGACCCTGTCGGCGTGTGGGAGATGCTCTTCCGTCTTCCCCACAGCGTCGTCGCCTCTTCCGAGGGCTCCTTACACAAGTTCGCACAACAATTGAACGACGTCGTCCTTCAGTCGAAGGGAAGCCCCTTCCCTTGATCCCTTCCCCGCCGGGGGGGGGGGCCCGGGGCAACTCCTGGGGGGGGTCCCCCCTCGGATACGCAGCCCCCCGCCTCTCATCCTCCTGCGTCCTGAAAGTCCGTTGGCCCTCCGGGGCCGTCTGCGGGCCATTTCAGCCTATCTTAAGGTTCCTTGGAAACCTTTCGCCATTTTCAGACTCTCTTGGCAGCCTCTGGCGGCACTCTTGACAGCCTCTGAGGGCGCTTTTGGGCCTCGCTTGACGCCGTCTTGGAACCCTCTCGGGCCACTTGAGGGCGCTCTTTGCCTATCTTGGCACTCTGTGGAGCCGTTCCCGAACCCTGAAGGAGGCCTCTTGAGCTGTCGTCGGACGACCTTGCAGGTATCTGGCGCCGTCTTCGAGCCGTCTGAGGGCATCTTGGACTCCTCTACCTCCACATTGTCTTCGTCGTCGCTGCCTACAGGGTCGGCGGCATCGGCCGTAAGGCCTTCGCAATAAATGGATCCACTGGTTTTCACACACGGGAAATTGGATCCGCGCAAGACAGACATGGGATCCACGATACTGTTGCACACCCGAAAAGGGATCCAACTGGATCCATCGGTCTCATATTTCCAATCTAAGAGGAAAACATGATGGACCCACGAACCCGGAAAGGGATATAGACATGTGGAGCATGGACACGTTTTCACGATACCCAACTGGGCAACACCTCACGAAACATCCCACGAGACACTTCACGAAACATCCCACGAGACACCTCACGAAACATTCCACGAGACACCTCACGAAACATTCCACGAGACACCCCGCGAAACATTCCACGAGACACCCCACGAAACATTCCACGACGACAGGCAACCACTCAACCAAGGCGGTGTGGTCGTGCTGGGGAGTGGTCGTGCTGGGGTGTGGTCGTGCTGGGGGGTGGTCGTGCTGGGGGGTGGTCGTGCTGGGGGGGTGGTCGTGCTGGGGGGTGGTCGTGCTGGGGCGTGGTCGTGCTGGGGCGTGGTCGTGCTGGGGCGTGGTCGTGCTGGGGTGTGGTCGTGCTGTGGTGAGGTCGTGCTGGGGTGTGGTCGTGCTGGGGTGTGGTCTTGCTGGGGTGGGGTCGTGCTGGGGTGGGGTCCTGCTGGGGTGTGGTCGTGCTGGGGTGTGGTCGTGCTGGGGTGGGGTCGTGCTGGGTGGGGTCGTGCTGGGGTGTGGTCGTTCTGGGGTGTGGTCGTGCTGGGGTGTGGTCGTGCTAGGGTGGGGTCGTGCTGGGGTGGGGTCGTGCTGGGGTGTGGTCGTGCTGGGGTGTGGTCGTGCTGGGGTGTGGTCGTGCTGGGGCGTGGTCGTGCTGGGGTGGGGTCGTGCTGGGGTGGGGTCGTGCTGGGGTGTGGTCGTGCTGGGGTGGTCCGCACCCTGTGATTTATCGATCGGGTCGTGCTGGGGTGTGGTCGTGCTGGTGCTGGGGTGTGGTCGTGCTGGGGTGTGGTCGTGCTGGGGTGTGGTCGTGCTGGGGTGTGGTCGTGCTGGGGTGTGGTCGTGCTGGGGCGTGGTCGTGCTGGGCGTGGTCGTGCTGGGGTGTGGTCATGCTGGGGGTGTGGTCGTGCTGAGGTGTCCCGCACCCTGTGATGTATCGATCGGGATTTCAAAAACAAGCGTTTCGCCTGAGACATCCTCAAATTTTAATCCACCGGCCTCCTTCGACCTCGATATTTATCAGGGAAAGAATCCGCCGGCCTCGTTCAAGTTGGGCACCGGGGACATGTTTACATACTAAAAGAGAACCCTGGGCCAAAGCCCTTTCCGGGAAAAACTCTCGGCCTGTGGATGTAAGAAAACGATCACTTTGTCACATGTTCTCTGGCATTGTCTCGGTTACACTGTCGACCAGGTGGCCAAACACCGGGGGGGGCATCCGAAGATTCCCACGGGGACGCCACCGCACGACCAGGACGGCCCAGGAGGCCTCGAAGACGGCCCATGTGGTCCTCGTCTCAACGGCTTGACGGCAGCGGAGCCACGGAGTGCATTTGCAGGACAGGCGATAACGGTCTCGGGGGATGGCGAAAGAGATGCAACGGCACTCACAAATTGCGTCCTCTGGGCAGCTTCAGCAGCCAGTCTCACACGCTCCTCTTCTCTCTGCTTCGCCGCGGCCTCCTCGGCTTGCTTCCTGAGCGGGGGCGAGCACAGATAGATCGCTCTTGCAGATGGCCTCTTCGACGCCACTTCGTCACTTTCAACTTTGCACTGCGCGTCGAAGTCGTCATCCAAAACTTCGAGTAAAAGCGCAATGCCAACAACCTCGAGGAGGCGCTGTCCCACCCCAGCACACGTTCCCCCATGTCGGCTGAAGCGTCTTTATCCTCGAACCCTGTTCCCCCCCTCCATTTGCGGTCTCTCCGACAAGGCACCCAGAGACGGAAGGAGAGTGGCAGGTGGCGGGGAGGGCCAGGGTGGCGGGGGCTGGAAATGGCAAAGCCTCGTTGGCATCGCTTGGGATCGCTGCACGGCCGTGAAGCCGCCACGCGAACGCGCGCCGAGACCGGGAGCCCCTTTCGCCGAGGGCCCCTATGCGCCATAGGGATAGCCCCAATGAGCGCCATTCTCGGCCAGACGTAAGAGTGACCCTGGGCAAGAGTGACCTTTGGTGCGCAGCTTTTGGGGGCGCGAGGGAGCCAACCCCAAGGGCGTGACCCACTTATATCGCATCGTACTCGGCGATCGGAGGGAGCCCGATGAGCCCGCACCAAAGGTCACTCTGGCGAAGGGTCACTCTGACGTGTAGTCGACATTCCGAGGCGGGGCGTCAAAGCACTAAGAACATAATCCGCCGGCCTCCTTTGTGGGGCCAGCAGGCTGCGCGGGTCCCCCCCATAACGCCCCCCAAGGGACCCCAAACCGGAGATTTGACACACACACCCCGGCCCCGGGCGACCCCGGACCGAACGCGTCACGGGGGAGCGGAGGGTTCCAAAACTGGCCATGAAGGCACCAGAACGCTCCTCAGACGGTCCCAGGGGGCCACGATTCGCCGAAATATGGCCCTGGACGCCCACGATGGCCTCCAGGCGGCCTCCGAAGCTGCCAAGACGCCCCAAAAGGCCATCAAGATGCGCCCCAAAAGGGTCCCAGGAAACAGAAATCGTCCCATTCACTTCGAAAAACAAGCATTTTTCGCATGCTCGCCTATTCGGTTTTCACAACGTCCCAGACGGGCAAAAAACAGTCAATATCGCCCCCCAAGAAGGGTCGAAGAGGGTCCAACAACAGCCCCCGAAGCCCCCAAGACAGCACAAGAGGGCCCCCAGACGGCCCCAAGACGACACCTGCTCGAGCCCTCGGCCCCAAGACGCCCCCAGCCTGCCCCAAGAACAGCCCAAGAGGCCCTGAGGGACCCCCATAAGAACCTCAAAGGCCTCCAAGAAGCCCCCAGGAAGCCCCAAAGAGGCCCCAAAACTTGGCCCAAGATGCCTCGAGGCGGCCGGATATGGCCTGCAGACAGGCCAAGATGCCACCAAGAGGCCACAAAAGAGCACCAAGAGGTACGATAACAGCAACGAAGCAACAGGAACGATGTCGAGCGCCGTGTCATGATTCGGACAAGCCTCGTGAAATGCAGTCCTGGAGGCGCAGTACCTTATATAGGGGTCGGCGGAGGTGGCGTAAGCCTATAGAATATTTAGGAATTAGCCGCCATGCGGAAGGGGCACCATCAGTGTGCGCGTACGCATGGAACGAGAGATTAGGAATTAGCCGCCAGGCGGGAAAGGCACGATCCGTGTGCGGGCACGCATGGAAAGCGGGTTTAGGAATTAGCCGCGCATAAGGGGCGTTTCAAGGGCTTCTAGGATTGAAACATGTATAGGCTCTTAGATCCTAGGGCAACAGAAAACTGCGACACCACACTCTGCGAACTTCTCTCCAGGCGACCCCCGCCTTGATCCCAGAGGCCCTCGAAAGGCCCCCAAAAGGAGAAGCCTCGCTGGAGTCGCCACCGCTGCCGCCGCCGTCGTCGTCGCGGCCGACGCCGTTGCGAAAATAATTACTGAAACATCGCGATCAATCACTACCAGAGCCCTTAGACCCAATCCTTCTGCGGCATGTTTCGAGCGCTCGATCTGCGATGGTCGCTCTAGGCACGAGAATCCGTACGAAAACGCCTGGTGAGAAGAAATGCAACGGCTGGATCTCGGGGTCTGAAGGCCAGAGGGCTTCTGAGCAGCCTAACCGCCTTCTGAGAAGGCCCTCAATTTTTACCTAACAGCGAAGACTGATAGGTTTTTAGTAGGGTCAAAAGAAAGCATCATGACGCCCCAGGGGGGTCTGGGCGCGATCCGGGGGAGGATGCCAGGGACTCTTTTTTTAGCCAACAGTAACGCACTTGTGGTCTTCGAGTTCCCAGAACTCCATTCCTGGGCATGATTTTGAATGCCCGGAGCCAACTGTAGGCCACTTCGTGTTCTTCGAGTTCCCAGAACTCCATTCCTGGGCATGATTTTGAATGCCCGGAGCCAACTGTACACCACTTCGTGGTCTTCGAGTTCCCAGAACTCCATTCCTGGGCATGATTTTGAATGCCCCGAGCCAACTGTAGGCCACTTCGTGGTCTTCGAGATCCCAGAACTCCATTCCTGGGCATGATTTTGAATGCCCGGAGCCAACCTTAGGCCACTTCGTGTTCTTCGAGTTCCCAGAACTCCATTCCCGGGCCACATTTTGACTGCTGAGGCAGGCTGATGCTGAGGCTGAGGCAGGCTGAGGCTGAGGCAGGCTGAGGCTGAAGGCAGACTGAGGCTGAGGCTGAAGCAGGCTGAGGCTGAGGCTGAGGCAGGCTGAGGCTGAGGCTGAGGCAGGCTGATGCTGAGGCAGGCTGAGCTGAGGCTGAGGCTGAGCAGGCTGAGGCTGAGGCAGGCTGAGGCTGAGGCCGAGGCTGAAGGCAGACAGGCTGATGCTGAGGCTGAGGCAGGCTGAGGCTGAGGCTGAGGCAGGCTGATGCTGAGGCAGGCTGAGGAGGCTGAGGCTGATGCAGGCTGAGGCAGGAGGCCGAGGCTGAGGCAGGCTGAGGCTGAGGCTGAGGCTGAGGCTGAGAGGCTGAGGCTGAGGCTGAAGCAGGCTGAAGGCAGACTGAGGCTGAGGCTGAAGCAGCTGAGGCTGAGGCTGAGGCAGGCTGAGGCTGAGGCTGAGCAGGCTGATGCTGAGGCAGGCTGAGGCTGAGGCTGAGGCTGATGCAGGCTGAGGCTGAGGCAGGCTGAGGCTGAGGCCGAGGCTGAAGGCAGACTGAGGCTGAGGCTGAAGCAGGCTGAGGCTGAGGCTGAGGCAGGCTGAGGCTGAGGCTGAGGCAGGCTGATGCTGAGGCAGGCTGAGGCTGAGGCTGAGGCTGATGCAGGCTGAGGCTGAGGCAGGCTGAGGCTGAGGCCGAGGCTGAAGGCAGACTGAGGCTGAGGCTGAAGCAGGCTGAGGCTGAGGCTGAGGCAGGCTGAGGCTGAGGCTGAGGCAGGCTGAGGCTGAGGCAGGCTGAGGCTGAGGCTTGAGGCTGAGGCTGAGGCTGAGGCTGAGGCTGAGGCTGAGGCAGGCTGAGGCTGAGGCCGAGGCTGAAGGCAGACTGAGGCTGAGGCTGAAGCAGGCTGAGGCTGAGGCTGAGGCAGGCTGAGGCTGAGGCTGAGGCAGGCTGATGCTGAGGCAGGCTGAGGCTGAGGCTGAGGCTGATGCAGGCTGAGGCTGAGGCAGGCTGAGGCTGAGGCCGAGGCTGAAGGCAGACTGAGGCTGAGGCTGAAGCAGGCTGAGGCTGAGGCTGAGGCAGGCTGAGGCTGAGGCTGAGGCAGGCTGATGCTGAGGCAGGCTGAGGCTGAGGCTGAGGCTGATGCAGGCTGAGGCTGAGGCAGGCTGAGGCTGAGGCCGAGGCTGAAGGCAGACTGAGGCTGAGGCTGAAACAGGCTGAGGCTGAGGCTGAGGCAGGCTGAGGCTGAGGCAGGCTGAGGCTGAGGCTGAGGCAGGCTGAGGCTGTGACTGCGACTGCGACTGCCGTTGCCACTGCGACTGTCATCGCGAATGCGACTACGACTGCGAGAATAGCAGAATTCTACAACTGGATTATCATCTGAATATTAAGGGGGATGCTTACAGATTTGCTCCCACACATCGCTGTTACGTTGCTTTGCCGGGATAAGTTTACAAAAAAACAGCGCGATCTCACGTGAGGAGCAACGATGGGGGGGACCAGCTCAGAGGAGAAAACATCGAGCTGGAATCGGCGATCTATATATATATATATATATATATCGCCGATGAATTTGCGATACGCCCCTAATAGCCAATCCGCACTGTACTCGGCGGGGTGGGTTATCGGGCCCGAAAAGGCAATGAGTGGGCGATTGAGGGTCGATGTACAGTTGGGGCGTTGACCTAAGGAACCCTAAATAACGAACGAGGCCCCTTTTTCCCACAAGTTCAACTCCGATTTCCCATGGAAAACCTCAGGGGAACCCAAGGAGCACTGCAAAGCAACTAAGGAACACGGAGCCCCCCCCAAACGAAAAGGGTTCCTTCTTCAGCGCCCCGACTGCATCCCTCCATCATGAGCCTGTCCCGCCTAAAGTTGCCCCGTGGCTTTCGTGTCGCAACTCGACCCTCCAGCGGCCGTTCGGGACGGTCCAGGCACCCGCAGAACGCCGTCGGCGAGGCGTAGCCGCCGGAAGGCATCCCAGGGCTGGAAAGCAACAGTGAATCAACAAAAAAACATCCCCCCTTTGGCCGCCCCTGAGCCTGACCCCCCCCCCCCCCTAACGTTGCCCTATCACAGCCACGTAGCCGACTAGGTGGCATCATCCCAGAGGGGGGGCCAAAAGGGGGGCGGGTCGTGGAAACGCTAATGATTTTCCTGGGGGGGGAGAGAGGGGGGGGGGCCTGGACCCCCCCCACTAACCCCACCAACCCCTCCCCTCCCGAGGTTTTTTGTGGGAGGGATCGCGAGGTGTCGGAGGTTCGTTTTTCGGTCATTGGGCGGGCCATCACGAGGATCGTGGCCCCCGAGAGGGAGACGCAAATCGAGTACCCTCCATCTTTTGGCCAACCGCCTCCAAGATGGCCCCGAGAGGCCCTCCAGGGCTCCCAAGAAGCCCCAAGAGGGCCCAAAGAGCGCCCCTAGAAGCCCCAGGAGGGCCCCAAGAGGCC